TTCTGACTCCAAAGCCAGAGTGTTAAACCGCTATGCAGTTCTTCCTCTAGCTATATACTCTCTCACAGGGAAATCCAGTCAACCATGCCAATCTCACTAATGGTTTCTTCCTTCTCCCTGAGTGGAAAGAATGTCCAAAATGTGGCTTTGCAACTTGTAAGGTATTGTAAATTTAGATTTATTTTCAGTATGAGTCTCTACAATCCAAGAAACCACACAAACGTGCACCCGCACATATTCGTACTCAGGGAGAGAAGGGCAGAAAGTCAAGACATAATTCTAAATATGCTGTATGAGATAACTGGTTCTTAGAGTTGCTCTTCAAAATGCCTCTTGCTTTTTATAAATGGTGCATCATCATATGGAAATCATATTCATAACAGATACATCACTTGGCCGTTTTTCCAAGTTGATATTGATTTCCTTATTGATTACTTCTTTCAGAATTGGAGGAAGCAATAACAAAGGGAACTGGTGCTGACAATTTCTTGTTCTGAGACCACCCTGTGAGGATTAATAGAATCTAGGCCTACCCATGTCAAGAAAAAGTGAATTGGTATTTTTTTACTTGCATTAAATAATAAAACATTAAAAATCGATGCATTACATGCATGGTTGCTGTATCGTTTTTCCTTTCTCCTTTTCTCCCTTCTCTCTATGGATTCTTAACAAACCATGATGTGTGTTATTATCTCATTAACCTTTCCTGGCTATTTTAAAACTAAATTTTCTATAGCCTCCTCTGGGTGGTCCTACCCTGTGAATAGCTTCACCTCTTCCTGTCCATTGTGTGTGATAGCTAGTCCCTTAATGACAGATAGCCTAAATATATTACTCTTTCTTACATCTCTGTTAGTTCTCAAAAAATATTTGGGGCCCTCTTGATTTTATTTTCTCTAGACTATATCCAGGTATTTATTGTAAGCTACTTTTCTCCAGCTCCAAACGTTTAATTGCTTTCAAGACAGGAAATATGTGGACTTTTTTTTTTCCTTCTTTCTCTGATTTACTTGGTGATCTGAATTCCAAATGTTTTCCAATATTATGGCTTTTTATTACTGACCATATATTGCAGCTTTAAGGCCTTTGTACATTTTCATTTCTCCAGGAATTTAGCTGCTAAACCACCTCCTCTATGTTTTCAATGAGCTAACACATTCCAAATACTATCGCATTATTTTGTAATCTCATTTTTTTAAAAATGTGGATATTGGGCCGGACCCATGGCGCACTCGGGAGAGTGCAGCGCTCCCGCCGCGGGTTCGGATCCTATATAAGGATGGCCGGTGCGCTCACTGGCTGAGCGGGGGGGGGGCGACACCAAGCCAAGGGTTGCGATTCCCTTACCGGTCACAAAAAAAGACAAAAAAAAAAAATGTGGGTATTACATTTCATAGGAAAATAAAGAGCAGTTATTTTCACAGAAAGATATATGAAAACACATCTGCCACAGATTGTGCATTCTTTAGCACATGATTGTTGGAAAAAGTTATGTAAAATGCTGACAAATGAAATCAGCACCAAAATATAGAGCTATTTTTTTTTTAAAGTTTACATATCACATGTCAATAAAATACAAAGCTGGAAAAACAACTGTTTTAAGAAGCCGCAGTACATGGATATTAATTCCTTGTCGTACATATATATATTGTATATTCAACCATATCTTTAGTAACCAATTGCACAAGCTCAGAGGGAATACAGCCCAAGTGGAATCGTTCTCCTATCGTCCTAACAGGCAACAATCCTGCTTCTTAATAGAGATATTTCTGATTATTTTCTTCTTGTTCAGCTTCATTCTTTGCACCTAATGTTTAAAATCCCCACATTAAGTGCTCATCCACAAAGAAAAGCAAAGGAATAGAAGATTTGGAACCAGTGTATCAAACCATCACATTATACATTGAAATGTGGATTTCCTTGCATATCCATTGAATGTAAAATTCATTCAGATGAACTTTTTTGTCTCTAGAATGTCAAGTAACTGGTTTGAATGCTCTTTTTCACTGGTTTCTCTAAATCAGTGGAAAAGGCATAGATTCTGGTGCTTCAGAGCAGTGGCTTTGAAGAGAAACACGTGAATTTGAATTCTTGCTCCAGACACTTTGTAGGTGGGTGGAGAAGGGGCCAAACCTCTCTGAGCATCAGTTACATCACATGTAAATTGAGAATTTAAACTATAATGGAATTTAATGAGATTGTATGAATATAAGAAAAATACTTGGCACATGGTATGACCTCAATACATTTTGCAAGTAGCTGCTATTGTTGCTATTAGCGTAATAGTCATGGTGATAGACCATTATCCATAATGTGTTCTAACATAATGCCAGCTGCTACTGATCATTACCTAGTACCAAGGCTTTGGTGATAAAACGACTCTAAATAAAGTAATATATGTGAAAATATTGCTGGTGAAGGCTTGGCCGTGAGTGTACAAGCTTCAGTAAATACCCATTCACACATAGTTTTTGAACTTGGAAAATTATCATATTGCTAGCAATTAGAATCTGGATAAATAGTTATATCCAAAAAGACCAGTTTAAGATAGGTAATCTTTTCCTAAACATGTGCGTAAATATCATGTCCTTTGATTAGCATCTACAGCTTACTCTAGAGTGTGTTTTCTACTTGGAATCCTTTTTTAAATGGAATGGTTGGTGTATGATTTGCCACTGGATTCCTCAGCAGACAGAACAAACATATATTGAACACCAGCCTTGTACCATGAAAGACTTTGTGTTTGGCCTTGTGCTTTTCAAATATTATCTCATTTAATCTTGGCACACGATTGTCATTTTAAAACAGAACACATTTATTGTTATTTTATTTATGATAAAATTAAGACTTGCCCAATGTCAATACAGCTAGTAAGTGGCAGAGACGGTTTTCAAAGTCAGACCTGCCCAAAGATAGTGAAGTCTTTCCATTCACTATCTACCATCTGGAATCTACTTCAGTTAACTAAGAAATGTTTCTAAATATTTTCTCAAATACCAGATTAATGTGATATCCTCTGAATGCCCAAATTTTGTACAACTGAATGAATTCATAAACTAAAAAAAGGAAGAAATGGTTATTCAGTTTTTTAAGTTCAGAAAGGACAATTAAAAATCAATGCTTATATTTCTTATTTTCTTTCTCATTTAATAAAACTGTTCCTCTAGTTACAAACCATGATTGGTTTTGCCTACATGAGACCTGATCTCTATTATCTTAGCTCTAAATTTTTTATGCAATTCTGAAAATTGGATAGGATAGGCATACAAAAACATAGATGACTTATCCTAAGAATCTGTATGTCCAAGTGACAGACTGATTCAGTGTCACTTTTAGGGATAATGGTTTAAAACATTAATTCCATAATAAGATTTTTTAAATCTCTGGCTTAATTTCTTTTGAAGACAACACAGACCATTTCCTTAAAGAGAAGAAAAATATCATGTTTTACCCTCACCTGGTGCCCATTGAGAAAAAGAAATTTATTACATCAGAAATGTAATTCAAATGACAGCATTGATTTGTTTTGTGCTGAGTATGTGTGTATCCTTCATGTGCCCTTTCACACCTGACTCTGGCAGTCTTTGTTTAGCTATGATTAGGTGTTATGTGTCATTCCTGCCCACTAAATTCTTGAGTTCCTGCAGGGCAGAAGCTGTGTCTCACAGTATTTGCATCCTGAGCTGGCAATCAGATGGTACCTAATCGAATTTTTATAAATACATAAGTGATGAAAGCAATAATGTACAAACATAAAATTTTACTAATTCCAGCAGAAGTTGGTAATTAAGAGATGTATATGTATAATTTTTTTTTAAATATCCTATGCTCTCCTTGAAACCAAGCCTGTGTGGAAACATTCCAATTTGTCACTATAGCCTTCCTGTTTGTTGTTAGGATCAAATGAGATAATCATCTTAAAATACTTACTGAAATGGCCAGCATGGAGGAAGTAGTCAATAAATGTTACTGTACTCTAGTGTGCACAGCCAGATGGCTTGCAACCCTGCATGACACACTTGAGTTTGAATAGTCCTCAAATCCAATAAAAGGTTATTAAATCAAATGTTGTAGACAACAAAAAATGAAATGGCACTTAAAACACTCCTTGTTGAGAGGATTGACATTTGGGAGGGTGGGAGAAAAAACATTTTTGAACAATAATATATCTATCACTTGATTAGATATATTTCTTATGTTAATTCATTTTTATTTGTGTCTGTTTATTTACTGACTCAGACTGTGATCTTTAGGTTTACAAGTGTCTTCTCTATCTAGACTTGACCTCCTTGAAGGAATTGAACTTTCAGAACCATGAACAGTTTTACCTTCTAAATATTTAACAGTACACAAGAACTTTAACACAATTATGTATGTATATATATGTATGTTTATACATTGTATATAGCATGTGTGTGGAGAGAGAGCATCATATTCTAGGTATATATGGAGACAGGTATAATTGCATATAATAGAGTGGCATGTGAAATTAACAGAATTGAGTATCAGAAAACATGAGTTTGCATCCTGATAATGAATTTAATTATAGAGAAGTCTTGGGCAAGTCACTTAACATCTTCAAACCTCAGTTTCTTCACCTAAACTTATAGTGTTCAATAGGATTTTCTGGAATGATGGAAATGGTCTGTGCTGTCGAATGTGGTAACTGCTAATGACATGTGGCTCTTGGGCTCTTGAAATGTGACTAGTATATCCGAGGAACTGAATTGTAAATTTAATTTAATTTTAATGATTTTAAACTTAAATAAGCACAGGTGGCAAGTGGCTGTGTGAGCGTATGGCATAGCTATAGAATCAAGGAGGACGGGCAATAGCTTGTGATATTATATGAAAGGAGGCTAAACTGAATTCCCCTGGTATGGGTGCTACCAAGAGTGTTTTTCAGCAGGAGAACTATCCTCCTTTGAAATAGTGATGCTTTCACATGATAGTGTAGGACTTTAAAGTTTAAACACTTTCTCCTTTATTTCTCCCAACAGATCTTGAAAACTTTAAAACAAGAACAAGAAGCACCGTGTCTGTCCGCCGCGGGCAGGGAATGGTGCTGCTGTGTGGACCGCCACCCCATTCTGGAGGTACCTGTGCATGCACTGCTGTGTGCATACTCACTGACTGCTCTTTTTCTTGCTGAATGTTCTCCCTCTTGGCACCAGCTAAACAGATAGTGTCATTTATAGAGATTCCCAAAGTCCCTCCATGTAGAGGAAAACCATTGTGAGTGCCTCCCATAATTAGGATAGGAAAATAACAGATTGTGCAAATGTTCCACCCACTGCTGTCCACCTGGCACAAGGGGAAAGACACCCAAGTCAATCAAAATCAGAGTCCTGTTGCTTGGTAAAGAATGAAGCTAAAACTGCCAGTACTTCTCACAACTTGATTGGGTTAAAAAAGATGGCCCTGCTTCATTTCATCTTGTTGTTGGTCTGGGAAGGGATCTATGAATGGTTTCTACCCATGACATTTCTGACACCAAGTATGTGGGTTTTTCCCATGCCAACAACCAATTCTCCAACCCTCTGGACACCTATGGGGTATACAGTGATTCCATTCTGACACTAATTACCCAGAGTTAGTGTCAGACCCCGCAGGGTAAAGGCTCAGTCCTACAAGACTGCCCCCATTTCAGATGCCAATCACAAGTACTTACCTCCTGTACGTCTGGCCAACCAGCTGTAAGCTGGGGGTTCCCAAAATCCACTCCTTGAGTTTGGTAATTTGCTAGAATAGCTCACAGAACTCAGAGAAAGCAGTTTGCCTACTTTACCTACTAATACCAGTTTATTAGGAAGGATATTATAAAGGACATATATGAATAACCAGATAAAGACGTATAAAGGACAAGGTCTGGAAGGGTTCTGAGCACAGGAGCTTCTGTCCCTGTATAGATGGAGTGGGCCACCTTCCTGTCACATGGATGCATTCATCAACCAGCAAGCTCTTTGCATCCTGTCATTTAGGGTTTTTATGGCAGTTTCATTACACAGCCATGATTGATTAAATCATTTGCCATTGATGATTGAACTCAGTTTCCAGCCCCTTTCCCATCCTTAAAGGTCTGGGAGGTGCTGATGGGGGTGGGATGAAAGGAGGAGAAGTTTGAAAATTCCAGCTCTCTAATTACATGGTTGGTTTTTCTGGCAACCAGCCACCATTTTGGAGCTATCTAGGAGCTCACCAAGAGTCACTTCATTAGCACATATTCAGGTATGGTTGAAAGGACTTATTACGAATAACAAAAGATGCTACTTTCACCCCTAGCAATATTGTGGAAATTACAAGGGTTTTAGGAGTTCTCTGCCAGGAACCTGGGATAAAGACAAAATAACATATTTCTTATTAATCACAATATCACAAGATCAGACCAAAAATTAAAGTCCCTGACTACAGAACCCAAAATCACTTTGTGGAGAGTAATAATGACTATATCTGCTAGGAATGCACTTGACTGCAAATAACTGAAAACGCAGCTGGCACGGCATACATAGATTGGAGTTGGTTGTTCTCACATGCAAGATTTTCAAAGGTATGCAGTCTAAAGCTAGCACAGCTTCTTGAGGATGTCTTTCAGGACTCTAGCCCTTCTCTGGTCCTTCTCTCAAGTCTTCAGCATGTGGTATGGCTGAGGCATGAAATCTGCATTCCAAACAGGAAGAAATAGGAAGGAGCAAGGACAAATGGCAAAAGCTCTCTCTGGTTCCACTTACCTCTATTATGGAAAGTTTGTTTTGCTGAGGACTTTACCTGCATTTCATTGATCACCCAGTGGCAAAGGAGACTGAAAACTCAAATTCTTTATGGAGATTCATGATGCTCTGAAAAATATTATAATTTTATATTGGGCAAATATCTTCAATTGTTAATAAGGGAGAATATGGGGAGATGTTGTGTAGGCAACTTGTGGGGTCTGCCAAAAGGACCAACGATGATGAAGGGCAAATGTCACCACACGTGAAGAGTTCAGTAGTGCGGAGGTTGAACAAGTGGTGATATTTGTTAGGATTCCACTAAGGCTTATGATGACAAGATTGATAAACTCTACTCTTGGAAATTCAGGGTGAAGTTCAGTTTGGTATCTGCTATCCTTGTTATTACCTTAGTTTTCTATTTGGCTTTATACATGATTAAAATAGCAAACATTTTAAACTTAGAATTTGAAAAACACCCTTTTATTTTTGTCCTATATTCAAAAATTACAACTTTTCCTTTCTCATCTAATGTCCCAGCTAACCTTTTCAGCAGAAAATAACAATTAGCAAAATAGCTAAAAGGCTTGCTTTTAAAGCACCCTGTATATAAGGCAGTGTATAAGAGGCAGGTGCCCCTCTGAGTCTGGATGGACATGGAATTGTTAGTGTTTCTGGTTTTTGAAGACTGGCAGAGAACCCAGGTTTGATTTCAGGGGTTTGTGTTTGGGAAATGAGTTTATTTTTTAGGACTTCATTTTCCCTTCACATTAATATCAGAAGCACTAAATTTGAAGTCCAGTTCTGGTCCTATTTCTGTTTCAAATCACTATTTGATATTGGGCAAATATCTTCAAACTCTCTACACCTCACTCTACATATCTGTAGAGTGACGAGATTAAAAAACATCTCTCAGATCTCTTTTAGTTCTATTATTACATAATTATAACTCAGTAAAAGCTAAACATCATATTTATCAAGTATTTTTGCATTATTGAAGGTCTGTTCTTTATATCAGGAAGCCTCTAAACTATGGACATATATTTAGATTCAGGTGACGTTCACTCAGATTAACATTTCCATTCTTGATATGAAATCCAATCAAAATAAAAATGGAATATTTTGCTAATTTATTCTGTAGGCTACCTTCTAAGCATTAAGCTTTTGTAACATGGCAGCAACTCTAAAAATTAATCTTGCAGGTAGATACTGAAAAAAAAAAAAAAACACTACTCTCTGGTATAATGATATCTTCAGGAGAAGCAAAACACATGAAGTGATGCTGTGCAGCTACACGATGAGGTGCCTGACGACTTTCTCCTTCCCACAGAGAAATATATTAAAATTTCCCCTATATGTCTACTGAACTATGCTTGTCTCCGCTGGCAACAGTCTGCAGCTCTGAAATCTGGTTCCTTGAGCTGTGCTGACATTTCTGACAATCTTGATGGTGAAAGACGAGGAAGTAAATATTCTCATTATGGGCTCTATTAGAAACCGTATGCACAGTAACACTGTGGGCAAGGCAGGAACGGCAAAGAAATTTTCGAGAAAAGAACAAAGAGTATCTTCATGGTTGCAAGACAGCATCTCAGACATCATCAGTTTGGGCAGTGGGGTCAATGATTATCTGATGAAATCACCCCAATTATTCAAAAGCCTCCAATGTAAACTGTACAGCCGTGACTATGTCATTGTTCTTCCAAGCTGTGTATCATCTTAAAGCTGGCAAAATCACCATGAGCTACTGGGCATACTGAGCATTTTAGACCCAGCATATGGTATCCCAGTTTCAATTGTAACAGATCATGCAGAGGAAAGGAAATGAGTCAGATTTTTATTATATCAGTGAGGTACTGAGTAATGGCATGTAATCCATTGTAAGGGATGCTGCCTATCCTGTTTCAAAAGCTGTTCAGAGTCAGACCTTCTTAAGGGTAATATAGAAATGAGCAGCAATTAATCTATTTTGAAAAGCATTTCAGTCTGCTGGTATTTCCAGCATTCATGCAATCGCTATGTGTATTATCTCTGTCATCTCTTGGTTTATATCCATGAATTCAGATGTGATACCGTTGTATAGATTTTTACCATTAAAAGTTGACACAAACACCAAAAAATAGAAATTACTCTGATGGACTCTGCTCGTCCCTGGTGCTCCTTCATATTAGAAACAGAGATTATTGAGGTTCCAAAATGTTCACTTTGCTTTCCACCAATTCTAGGGTCATTTGACACCAGGAATCCATGACCTTTAACCAAGTTTTCATAAGTAGGAATAAAACTAAGGCACTTTGAGATTCTTCCTTTCAGTGTACTAAAATTGCCAGGTTGTTTATCAGTGAAATCCTCACAAACTGTTCATCAAGGGAGGTTATTGTTCATACCTTCCTTTTGTATGTCACCAAGACACTTGCTATACAAATGGTGGTTCACAGACCAGCAGCATGGACCTCATCCAGGAATGTGTTAAAAGGACGGAATCTCAGATCCCACTGGGTCCTACTAATCAAAACTTGCATTTTAATAAGATCTCCAAGTGATTGTATGCACATTAAAGTTTTAGAAACCCTGAGCTGTATCTGTGGTTCCCACACACGCCTAACCTGTGACCAGTAAGAAACACCAGAGCAAGTTATTAAAGCCCTGGGTGCTCAACCTTTTCCCAAGGATATTCTGATTTTATACATCTGGGGCAGCGTCCCCAAAACTGTTGTTTTAAAAGACTCCAGTTGACTGAGGCAGCACCAGATTTAAGATCCACTCACCTTGATCACCTTCTACAAAACCAGCCCGGGGCCAACCCTGCTGAGATGGAGTGCTTTGATTTCCATATCACCCAAGCAGAAGGGTTGAGCATTCCTTACATCACATTTGTACTCAGAGGAATGTGAAATATAATATAATCACCTGAGGATCTATTTTTGATTCCATATATTTTTGTATTTGACCATAAGGGAAATGAAGAGCTAAGAAAAGACAGGTTTTTCTCAGTAATTCCTATGCAGAAGTAGCATTTTCTGCTACTAATGCTAATTCTGATTCTGAGATTATTTTCATTGTGATGGATCTTAGAGAAACTAGCTAGAATCTTAGTCATTAAATGCTTTCATGCAGAATACGTCCCTATTAAAGTTGGATGCCATTCAAATAGAATCAGACCCAGGGACCTCATAACAGAGCATCTGTAGAATGCTTTATGGTGTTCATAATGCTTTAGTTTACATTATACTAACTTTTGATCCTCACAATTATCGTATAAGAAGTAAGAACATGTGTTTCATAGATAAGGAAATCAAAGGAAAGAGATTATGGGAAGGCACACTCTAATCAATAGCAGGGACAAAAGTTACTGTTGCCTAGAACGTGCCTTTTTTGGCAGATAGCAG